GTTTGTTCCCTTTGGAGAGAAGAGAGCGAGGCACAAGGCAGGGGTCAGGGGCATTTGTTTATCTTATATTCGTATGTTTTAACAATTCACAAAGCTGAATGTTTATTTTTTAAATGCATTTTGAAGTTCGTGTTCTACATAAATCATATTTCAATGATCAGACCTTTTCCTTTAAAGCATGTAAAACTCTAAAAATAAAAACACTGGAACTCAAAGAAATGCATTGCTAGTGGGTGAGACTCCCTCCTACTCCAGCTGCCCCAAATCTGCAGAAGTAGGCTTTGGCTGGTTATGATCGAGGTCAAGAGCCTCGGATTGGTGAGGGTAGTCGGGGTGAGGTGGTGATCACCACAGAAGACCCGGGAGCTGGAAAGCAGGGAGCCACTGACCAGGTTCTCTTCGCTTCCCAGGGGGCGGTGCCAGAAGTAGGCACCAGACCAGTGTTTGCCTGAAGAAACTGAGGAACTGGAGAGAAGCCGGAGGGCAGAGCCAGGTAAATGGACTGATGGCAGACATAACTGGTGAGGCAGGAAAGAGGAAGCAACTGCAGATATGTCGCCCAAAAGTCCAGGAACAGGTTACAAAATGGAAAGATGTGTTGACCTCTGGGGGAAGGGGGCTACTGGCTGGCTCGCCCTGTTGGATCAGGTTGTTGCACTGAGACTCAAGCAGTCTTAAGAGTTCTGAATTTGACCCTGGGCTTGACAATAAGGTATACTTCTCAAGGCAGGAGGATAGGACACAATTTATGAAGCTGTTTGGTAGCTTGATTTATGACTTGTACATATTTGGGCCTGTGCCTGGCTGGCCTGCATTTGTACTTTCACCCCAGGGCCTGGGACTGTGGAGGGAAATTCTGCCAGAGCCCTGTGTTCCGCTTTCAGGAGAGACTGCCTCTCAGGCAGATGCCTATTTTGGCCACGGCTCTAGCTCACCCAGAGTCCTTAGGAACACAGAATTTGACATATCAATGCTAGTTGTCTGCTGTCCCTGGGCCTCACGGTGAACAAGGTCCACAATGATAAGCATGGCTTCTGATTTGTGATGGTTAGAATGTTCCTTCCCAATCCACCTGCTGGAGAGTTCCCAAATTGATATGGTGATGATATTAGAGGTGGAGCCTTTGGAAGGTAATTAGGATTAGATGAGGCCACGAGTGTGGGGACACCATGATGGCATTCGTGGCTCTTTAGAAAGGGGAAGAAAGGTCCCATCTAGTACACATGCTTTCTCGCTGTAGGATGCAGCAGGAAGGCCCTCGCCTGGTGCTGAACAGACACTAGCTCCAGGTTTTGGAGCTTCCCAGCTTCCAGAACTGTGAGCCAAATGAACCTCAGATCTCTATAAACTACCCAGTCTGTGCTACTAGGTTATATCAACAGCAAGAAGACTGTAAAATGTTGAACAGGGCATGAGAAAGTCCATGGTCTCGTGGCAGCATGTTAGAGATCCCCCTAAGATTGACATCCGCTCCTTCACCCACATACGTTGGAGGTGGTAGTGTGACCAGCAGAACCCCCAATCAGTTCCGTCCTATCCAAGAGGATGTGGTGAAAAGTTTTTGAACTCTGCTGAAATCAATACACGTGGTGTCTCTGACAGGCTGCTGTCCTCATCCTCAGGGCTCCTGCAGAGAAGAGAGAGTGGCTTCATCAGAATGCCCTGGTTTCTGGTGCTCTCTATCTCTGTCCATTCCATAGTGGATCCTCTTGACACAGGGATTCAGGATAAAGAGCGAGAAATACTGAATCTTAAAGAAAACTCCCACAAGCCATTGAGATGCAGAAAGCACACTTGTAAATCTCGAGTAACATGCTCTTGGCCATGCCCTTGTTAAATGAGGGAAATACACAAGCACAGGAAAAACTGGCATGAATTGTGCTTCACCCTGGTCCCACCTCCAGTCCAGCCCTTAACTAGAGCCAGTTTATAAATATCAGACCCCAGCCCGAGGTGGGGCTCTCACTCTTGAGATAGCCCACATTGCCTCTTTAGTGTGTATCTACCTTCCTAATAAACCTCTGTTTGTGTCTTTTTCTGGCTTATGCTGCAGTTCTTTTCTGTGACATATGCCAAGAACCTCTCTCTTCTGGGAACCCCTTGAGCCCTTCTCTAGAGACATCTTTTCTCCTGACACTCCTACCATGTGCTCCACTGAGTTGATGATAGCAGTTGAATTTGACCACCTAATAAAGGTGGAGGCACTCCAGGTAATGAGGGAATCTTCAGGGTGGTCTCTGAAGTTCCTGGTGGAATGGAAAAGATGGTGATGATGCTGAATAGGCCAAGGACAGAGGTCAGTAAGCTTTTTCTGTAAGATGCCAAATCACAGGTATTTCAGGTTTTGACCGTCAGTCTCTGTTGCAACTCAGCTTGGCTGCAAAATCGGTCATAGTACTATCACCAGCCATCAACAGCATTGAATCCAATGGGCAAGGTTGTGTTCCAATAAAACTTTATTTACAAAAATAAGTGACAAGCCAAATTTGGCATGCCAACAAGTTTGCCCACCCCTGTTCTATGTTTATGTAGTGCTAAGGATCGAACCCAGTGCTTCACACTTTCAAGGCAGGCACTCTACCACTGAGCTACAGCCCCAGCCTGTCCACCCCTGTTCTAAGTACAAACACTCCTTGAAAATAAGCAAAGAACATTAGGGAACGGATAAATTTTCTGAGTCAGAGAGAGAAACAACCATGATAATACCATGTACAGCATCTCAAGGGGAGCTCAGTGAGCCCTGCAACCTGGAGGTTATCTGAAGAATCTATGGAAAGCACCAACCTCCCTTCTGGGCTCCCATTCGTAGAGTTCCTCCAATCACCGCCTTCTTTCCCAGCCCCTCCCCTTGCCAATGTCCAGGCACTGTGCTGTCTAGCCACACAGCTCTCCCCTGTTCCCCGCTAGCTGTGTTAGATCCAGACTCCAAACCTTTCCCTGCTCTGCTCCCCTCCTCGTGGCTTACCAACCCCTACCCATCCTTCAAAAGATCCGTGAGTGCCTTTGCTTTGGATTCTCCCAGGCACCTCAAGCTGGGCTCACTTCCCACTTCCGTGTAGGCAGAGTGCTTTGTCCAGAGCTGGAATTCATCAGTGCAACGTCAGAGCGACCTCTTCTAATCCCTCTCTCATGGCTCAACCTTATCTTGTGCAGTGTTCTTTTTAATCTGCTCATCCCTCACGGGGTTAAGAGCTCCTTTCAAACTTGGGATATGCCTTATTAGTCTTTGTTTACTCCAGGGTCAGCTCGGAATCGTGCACAGAAAGGATGCTGAGCGCACGTGTGCACACTGGTTTAACTCGTTAGTAGAATCTGATGGAGCAAAGGCCAGGGGATCCCATGGAATGAGTCACGGTTTAGGTTGTCTGCTACATTCATAAGACACTTTCAGTGACTTAATAAGCAACTCTTGGGAACTGTTCACAAATGATGGAATATTATCAGAATCTAATCAGGTTCAGGGGTGAAAATACAAATCTCTCCTCCACCTATGTCCTATGTTTCCTTCAAGTCACACACACACAAATAATTGTTTTAGGTAATGTGTATTGTTTTACACAGGCATTTTCTCTTTCAAAGGTATCTTGTGGAAATCTCATTCTCATATTGGATATGGGACTATGTTACATCTTTTAAAAAGATTTCCGAGAGCTAACGATTTGATCTCCAGTTCCGCATAGAACACTGGAGGGGTAATTTATTCTGTGGAACCCCAGTGGCCTCAAAGTGTGCCTGCAGCTTTCCAAAGCACTTCCTAGATGATCTCTCAGAGAGTTAAATCCGGGCAAAAATCGGGCCCCTGACATGACAGATCCTCAGACCTGCTCCTACATTGATTATCCAGGGAAAAGGACAAACTGGTGTTTGAGATTTGCACACATGAGGTTGGTAATTGAACCCTACCACATCACCAGGTTCTCGGCAGTGTTTGCTTTCCAGGTACTGTTCTTTCTGAACAAGTAAATAGGACAAATGGCCCAAGCAGGGCAGGGGTGGGTCAGATGCGTAGTCCTGCACCGCCCAAGCCTCACCCCACGGGTGATAGGGCCACTTCCCCTTACTGTACCGTTAATCCTGGCTTTGGATTTGGGGTAGGGGCTGGGGCAGTGGGGTCACTTTTTTGTACCTTGTAGGCACCTCAGAGACCAAGAGCAGGCCAAGGAAGTCCAAGGCGAACACCTCAAAGGCTTGGCATGCCCATACCTTGGTGGATCCTCACTTCCTCTAGAACTGCAGAGGGCTCTTTTTACTCCTTATTTATTTACTCCAAGAATTATTAGGCAGACTTCAGGCCTGTAGGAATCTTCTCCGGCAGCCGGTGTTGGCTGTCCTGCCCCAGTTGGGCAGCAGCATTGTCCCCTCCCCTGTAGCCCAGTTTGTCCCTCACTGGCCCCACCTGCTCCTCTGGAACCCGCCTAAGAGATCTCCCAGGCAGCTGCCATTCACAGGGGCCACCTCCTCCAGGTCAGGGAGGCCACAAAAACGAGTGAGGGAAAGCGAAAGGGTGGAAATTAGTTTCTTTTAGCTTGTCTGATCTCCTCTGGGCCTGGGATCGGCAGGGCATAAATAGATAATCAAAGATTTTTACTTGCCAGGTAGGAATTGTATAATCAGAGGCCGTGTCTTCCTTTGTGTTTCTGAAACTTCGCTGGAAGAAAATTCTCCTGAGTTCTCAATTCACCAAGCATTCTGCCTCTGCTTTTACTTGGAGATTTTTCAGCTCTTTAAGCTAACAGGGTCCAAAGCTAATCAGAGAGTCTTGTGCAAGCTAATAAACATGCTGGGGCTTTAAAAATACATCCTTTAGGATCTCTGTGTGTGTGTGCATTGTGTGTGCGCGTGTGAAGAGCCATCACACAGTGACACAGATAACCCATTTCAAAAATAGCCTTGGCTGGGTTATAACCTAGCTCCGTGGTCCTGGGTTCACTCCCCAGCACCAAAACAATGATAGAAGCAACAACAACAAAAAACAAAAATCATCTTGTTTCCTTCTCTAGGATCCACTGAACCCAAGAACATGGACCCTTCCCCTCTCCACTCCAGAGTTTCAAAGGTAAAGAATTGCTCTGCTTCCAGTCCATTCTGGGGAAGGGGGACTTTTCAGTTTGGGGTCACTGAGGAAATGATGTCTTCTCTTGGTGTATTAATTGCATTCCCCATTGCCATGACTCCCAGCTCCACACTCCACCCTGGACCCTTTTATCCACTCTCCTCTGGACACATCTGCCCATCCATCCTCAGGCATCCCCAGCTCACCTTGTCCAGGGGGAATGTCCCCTCTGTCCCACCCTCTCTGGGCCCAGCTTTTCCTCTAGCATTTCCCATGACACTGCAAGTATTTCCAGTCATCTGAATGAGAAACCTGCTGCCCTTAGTCAGAATTATTTTCTGCACAGGAAACGAGTCTTATTCTCTGTGACTAGTCTGGCCCACAGAGCATTGGGTACCCAGGGAAGCCTCCTGATTCTTGCTTGTATTCACATCTGGGCAGTTTTCTCAGTTCCATTCCCTCTCCTCTGGCCCTGGTTTGGCGCTTTGAGTCTTTCCTGGACCTTAGCAGATGCTGGGTGGAAGTGCAGTTCAGAGCATCAGCCCCCAGGACCAGGATACCTGTGTTCAAGCTACCTCGACCCTGTCTGCTCGGTGACCTGAGTCACATCACTGAACAATGCCTCCTGGGTGCTTGGAAAGAACAGGGAAACTTCTTATAAAGGATCAAGCAGTAAATATTTCTGGTTTCGTGGTTGCAAAGCAAAATTGAGGCTGTTATTTAGGTACTTATAAAACTAGAGAAAAAAATAAATATTTGCAACATAAAAATCACTGACAGAATTAATGCTGTCGTCACTGGAGTGGGTTCCTGATGAGAGGGTCAGCCTTCTCTGCTCTTTCTCTTTTGTGCTTTTCTTGCTCCCGTGGTATCTCCTGCCACGTTATAGTGGAGCAAGAAGCCCTCACAGATGTGGCCCCCTTGATCTGGGACTTCCCAGTCTCCAGAACTGTGAGCCAAATAAAGTTCTGTTGTTTATCAATCACCCTGTCTCGGGTGCTCTGTTATAGCACCACAAGATGAACTAAAACAAGTTCCTTGAGAGACTTGCCCACTCCCTCCTCAAGGCACTGCTCAGCATGGCCCTTTGCAGAGCCGACCCCTGCCTCTCTAATATTCAGTTGTTGATTCTTCTTTCTCTTTTTTAAAAAAGGGAAGTAAAAACTGCAAGCAAAGACTCCGCATTGCTCACAACATCTCCAGCTCTGTGCCTGATTATATTATGTGCTCCTTAAATACTGGCTGAATAAACAAATGAACCTCCTACCCTCAAATGGATGACTCGACAGAGAACCTCTTTGACGGCTCCAGTTCCCGGGGAAGTCTTGCTCTTTGAGTAATGGATGCATTTGGTCCTCATTGATTTTCTTAGAGGAGGAGACACCTTATGGGATAATGACGAAGAGCCTTGGCTCTGGGCACAAACTCCAGCTCCACCACTTCCTAATTTTGAAGTTTGCACAAGTTCCTTAACTTCTCTGAACTTCCGTTCTTTGCTGCTAAAACGGGGATGTCATGGTCTATTTTCTGCTGCTATCACAGAATGCCACCGAGAGAGAAAAGGACAAACAATGGAAGTTGATTTGGCTCAAAGTCCTGCAGGATGGTGAATACGAGATCAAGGGGCCACATCTGGGGAGGGCCTCTTGCTGTGTCTAAGCATGGCGAAGGCATCACAAGGTGAGAGAGAATGAAAGAGAGAGAGAAAGGGAGAAAGAAAGGCCAAACTCCCTCTCTTTAGAACTTCTGTGACAACATTGATCCATTTAAGAGGACTGAGATCTCATGATCTCGTCACCTCTTAAAGGTCCCACCTCTTAATACTCCTACAATAGCAAGTCATCGCGACATTAGTTTTTGTGAGACATTTAGACCACAGTCGGGGATAATGGTCATCCCCATCTCCTTTGTTATCAGCAAATTGGGCGAGATAAAGCCGAGAAGAGCTTCGTGTAGCAAGTGTTCTATGAACGTCTGTTGCTTTGCTCATATGCATTGAGCCATGACCACATTTTAAAGCCCTTTCATTAATTTGTTTATTCCTCCCAAACACACTATGAAGTCATTACTATTGCTAGTCCCATGTTACAGATGAGAAAACGGAGGCACAGACAGGTTGGATGACTTGCCCAAATCACACAGACAGAGTGGCAGAGCCAGGGTTCAAATCCAATCCACCTGAATCCCAAAGGGTTGCTTGCCCTTGTTCTAAGTGTCTTTCCCTGCATAGAGATGCAGTTTTTAAGTCCTTTGAGAGTCAGGAATGAGGTCCACCCTTCCCAGCCTCCAGCACAGCACCTGCACTTGGAGTAGCTCACATCCATCTGTTAATTCATTCTCTCATTCTTCCTCTGTCCTGATCCAGGATAGAATGTTCTAGAGAGATTTCCTCCTGGCCAGGGGTAATCACCTATGAACACCTTTGTGTCTTAGAGAAAGGGACAGGAAGGAGAAAAGAAAAGGAGAGAAGCATAAGGAGGAGGTGCATGCTCAAAAGGCAGCGGTGGAATCAGAGCTGACCTCCTTCTGGTCCCTGCCTCCCGGGGAGCACCAACCCCACCACCAGTGAGCAGCTCTGAGCGCCCGACCAAATGCAGGCTAACTCCACTGATTGTCTGTAACACGATTGTCCCTCTTAATCAAAGTGATGTCATTCTCCGATTTCAAAAAGTGAAGGATGGCAAAATTAACGATGGTTGGAGTGGGCTAATGGTCGCGGGCGGCCGAGGGGCTGCAGGCTGCAGAGCTGCTGCATTTCAATGATGTGCACCGGGATTTCTTCGCTAACAAGGGTGCCATAAGTCTTAATTACCCAGAACTAAGGCCTCACCTTGCTGCGTGTCCCCTGGGAGCTCCCTGTGAAGTCAGTGGGAGCTTTGCCTGCAGTTCAGCCCCGTGAAAAGTTGCCTGCAAATGTTTGCAAATTGCCTTGAGTGCCTCTGAAGGAAACAGGAGGGAATTATTTATTTTTAGACTGTTGGCATAGCCCTGTCCCTGGCTTGCCTGTCACAGACTCCAGTGTGACTCAAATCCCACTCCCTTTGCCTCTGATTAATTCTGAACTGCGGGCCTCTTCTTCATGGTTGATGGAGACACCTTGGAGGTCCTGCCCCCAGCCAAGCCAAGGAAATGTCCTGTTGCTCCTGCCTCTGACTTAGCAGACACCTCTAAAAAGCCTAATGCGTTTTCCATTAGAGAGACTGATTAGGCCTTCCCTTCTCAGCAATGGAAAGCAATCTCCCCCATGCAGAGGACATCAGGAGCCCCCAAAACAAAGCAAACCTGTTTTAGATCGTGGTAATGTCTCTGGGCTCCTGCACCCATCCCCCCTGCTGTGATTGTCACCCACTAACAGAACACAGCTGTTCCCTTCTCTGGAGACTTGCCCTGGGAGAAAGGCGTCACTCACCTGAAAATGCCTGGGAATGGGGGTTGCCTTCCCTCCAGAGACAGCTCACAGTCACATCTGCCTGATCAGAGGGCACAGAGGGGCAAATCTGCAGCACCGTGCACTCTCCAGAGCTCCCCTGGGAACTGGCTGAAGCCAGACAGCATGGTAGCCTGCCCTGTTTCCCTGGTGCTTTTATAGGCTGGCCTGAGAGTGCTCCCTCAGGAACCCGCCTGCCAAAGAGCCCTGCTCAGACTCAGGCTCTGGGCCACTCACCCAAAGGGGCCTCCCTAACCACCCCCTTGCAAGCAAAATAATCCTTCAAAACCTAAAGGCTTCAGTGCTTTCCAGTGCCCAGACTCTAGAGCCAGGTTCTGTTTCTTCTTCCAGCCTCACCTCCACTGGACCTGGGGCCTCACTTTCTCCAGACATTCCCCCACCCCTGCCACCCTTGGACCTCCCTGCTGACCCATGCCACAGATTCCACCGTGCTAGAGCTGTGGCTTCCTTGTCTTTTCTCCCCTCCAGACTGCAAACTCCCCCGGTGTTCCTACAACCTACTGTGCATCCGGTGCACGTGAGATCTTCAATAATTATCTCTTGATTGATGCAATTGAACCCATGAATGACGGAACCAGATACTTCATAAATGTTTCATAGTAACAGCCAAATTCCAACTTCAAGTTAATATAATATCAATATTTGCTTCCTTGTGGGTTAAAGCTCTCCTAAATAGAAAAATTCACTGGGAATATATTAAAATAATTAAATGCTTTTCATACAGGCATGTATGTGGCTTGGTTAAGATGTCCAGTACAATTATGTCCAAATGGATGCTGACGCTCCCAGTTTTTCTTTCTTCTGGACCCTGAGCTGACAATCAAAGCCTTCCCAGCCACCACTGACTAGAAGCAATCCTCTGTTGAATTTTAAGCCCCAACGTTGTTGCATGCTCCCAATGACAATAACCAAACAATCAGAAAACACGGTGCAATTCCAAGTGCCAGAACAGCTCTGCTCATCTGAGGAAGAAACCCTTGAACGTCAATGAACCGTGCTTCAAATCTGCCATCTCACTGCTCACTTTTCAGAAAAAGCATCACCCTGTGATTAAGTTGCTCTTGAATGTAAACTTGGTGATGGCCAGAACCCTCTGAGGTTCCGACTTGAACGGTGGTGCTCACTTTGGCATTGGGTGCCCGGCCGGTGGAGGTGCATTAATTCTCCGCATGGTGACAGGCTGAAACACAAGCGGCATGAACAAATTACCAGTGATAGATATGCAAATGAAACGAGGACAAATATTAAAACAGCCCTATCTCGCTGTGCCGCTACAGCATCTTGTCCAACATTCATGGAAATATTAATCCTTCTGGAATGCTTAGTAATGCATATAGGGGACCGTTCTTGAGGAAGCTAATAATTATCCCTTGTTAGCGAGATCAACTAACTGCAGTCTTTCACTGCGGGGACAGAAAAATATTGTGACTTGCTATGCTGAGTGAAACACGGCGGCAGAATAAATTAGATCATTTAAGCTAACAATAATAAAGACACACAGCTCTACCCCCCTTCTACATATAATTGACAAAATTAACAGAATATAGATGCAGCATTAATAGAAGAATGTATTATGGATGATTGGTGAGACACAAAGGGACAGATCATCGTCCACAGCTATGTCGGTAGAGCTAATATTTATTAGACAACCACTGTGTACAGTACGACTCTTATCAGGAACAAGGATAATAATAAATTACTAGCTGTCAACCACATGTACAATAACTTCATTAGGTGACTAAGCAGCACCCTTATTAAGTCTTTGCAATCTATTAAATGTCTCATTTTGAAAGAATGAACCAAGAGGAATTTATGAATTGTAGATCCCTAGTATTAACCCAAAGGCTCAGCCTTAGAGAGGAAAAAAAAGATCTTAGGGAAAAAAATTTCATTTCTGCCAAGGAAAATCTAAGAACATAAGTTAGCAGGCTCTACCAGATGCCTCCGGCTGTGCCGTAACAGAGATGAGACAAATATCTAATTTTGCAGGAAAAAGTTTATAGACTAGACTTTGAATCAGGCAGAGTCCAAACACCTTTCCTGCCAGGTTCCCAATCAAATGTGAAAGAAATAGCCATGTCCTCACACATCCCAGATCCACCTCTGCTCTCTGGGTCTGATCAGTATCGTGTCCATCACTTCCAAGGGTGTATCCAGACATAACTCACCGACCCCATCACTGGCTTCATTTGCATAGTGGATGCGGTCGATTGTTTGCAGAACTGGCCGTCCTCAGGTCAGTGTATGAACAACTCTCCGCCATGTGGCTTCGCACTGATTCCCGTTAAGAGGTGGGATCTCTTCCTCCTTGCCAGGAATCTGGGAAGGTTCTTTAAGCGCTTTGACCAAAAGAATGCCACCAAAGTGATGTTTTGGCAACTTCTGAGCCTAGGCCTTGAGAAGTCTTGCAGCATCCATTCCTATGCTCTCAGAACACAGGAAGCCCAGGCTTGCCATCTTGAAGATGAGAAGTCTCACTGAGAGAGAAACCCAGCCAACAGCCGCTGTACCAACTGCCAGCCGGGCAAGGCCATCTTGGACCATCTAGTTCCTGTTATGCTGCCAGGTGAGTAATTGACTCCAGAAAAGACCATCCAGTTTATCCCAGAGCAAGCTGCTGACCCTCAGAACCATGAACAAACAATCGTATCCTGAACCACTCCAGTCTGGAGCAGATTGTTAGGCAGCGATGAGGATCAGGTAATGAAGAGCGTGGTGGACGCTACGGCGTTCTGTGCGATGCTTAAAACAGTGAGTCCACTCTAAGCCCTTCTGCGGAATGCCAGCCTCCAGGACTGCCGAATTGTGAAGCAAAGGAATTTCTT